TCTTCATAGTATTCTGTTATTATCCTTTTGATTTCCTTTGGTTCTGTTGTGACATCACCCATGTGATTTCTAATGCACGTTATTTGTGTCTTTTGTCTCTTTTCTTTTGTTGGGTTTGCCAATGGCCTGTCAATTTTGTTAATTCTTTCATTAATAGAATTTTTAAAGGAGGATTTGATAAATCATTCTACAATTCATCTGGAAAAATAACGGGTCAAGATTTGCTAAGCAAACAGGAAGCAGATTTTCTATAGACATTAAAATATATGATGAAATAAATTTAAAATAATGTAGGAAGTATTAGTTAAAGAAGAGTCCTGGTGTGGTGCTACAGAGTTAGCACTGGACTGCTAACTGTAAGGTCAGTGGTTCAATCCCACCAGTTGCTCCTCAAAAACACTGTACAGGATTGCTATGCATTAGAACTGACTCAGTGACACTTACCAACAACAGCAACAACAGTTAGTTTAAGAATTATTAGGTTGATAATAAGAAATGGTGGGCCTAGAATACACCCTGTTATAAGAACATCTTATTGTTGTTAAGTGCCATTGAGTTGGTTCCAACCCATAGGAACCCTGTATAGAGTTTCCAATGAGCAGCTGGTGAGCATCTATCGCTAACCTTATGGTTCAAACTGACTTTGCAGTCCAGTACACTAATGCACAGTACCACACTTGAACTCCATATAAGAACTTAGTGGATTATTATGAAGGAAGCATTCTAAGCTAATAAAAGAAAGGATAGTAACTTGGCCAGTGACACTAATCTATTTGGGAAGTAATAAAAGACAGAACTTTACTTAACATTATGTATCAAAATCTAAAAGAAGTTCCAGGTGAATTAATGACCAAATGTAAAAATAGTAGTTTACCAAAAATTAAATATGGTTATTTACCTGATTTTAAAGGATAAAAATGATTTTAAAAAAAAATCATATGTTGTATCTGGATCTATAAACTTGACCCTCCAATATTTCATTATGTCAAAACAAAAACAAAAATTACATTTGAGATGCAATTGATAACTGAGAAAAATGTTTTTAGCAAACCTGAGATACCATGAGAAATAAAACCCTACAAAGACTTCTTATAAACAGATAAGCACCACCTCTGATAGATAATGAATAAAACATAGCTAGCTATAATTAATTCAGAGAAAAACATATTTAGACTGAATAGCAATCAAATTTATAAAATTTAAGTGTTTTCTTTTTTCATCTCTTTTTCTATATTTTATTCTTCCCAGTCAGTCAATGCTGGCAGTAGTGAGTGCTGATTATAGTGTAGACTGAACTTCTTGTTTGGAAAGCAAAGTGGCAAAACGTATCCAAGGTCTTAAACTGATTATTCCCTTTGATGCAGTTGTTCCCAGAAGAGAACTCTCAAGAATGAAAGACATAGTTCACTCTAACATTGCTTAAAAGAATGTAAAGCTCTAAGCAAACGGTTTGTCTCAGAATATGAATTAAACAATTGTAGGGTATAATATCATTTTGTCTTTTAAATATAGTTTCTGAGGATACTTGACAACAGCAATAATAATCCAAAATCCACTGCCATCAAGTCGATTCTGAACCATGTTGTTGTTGTTGTTAGGTGCCATAGAGTTGGTACCAACTCATAGTGACCTTATGCACAGCAGAACGAAACACTGTCCAAACCTGGGACAACCTCACTACGGTTGCCATGCTTGAGTCCATCAATGCTGTCACTTGACCAATCCATTGACCCTGTAATAGGGTTTGCCTAGGGCTATAAATCTTTACAGAAGCAGAAAGTGTCATCTTTCTCCTATGGAGTGGCTGGTGACTTTGAACTACTGACCTTGTGGTTAGCAGTCCAGTGCTCATCCTATAGTGGTACCAGGGCTCCTCAGCAAGAATACTCATAATACAATTTTCAGTGTAACAAAAAGCTATAAAAATGTCTCTATCTGGCATAAGAAGTTTCTTGGGTGGTGCAAACAGTTAAGTGCTAGGTAACTAACAAAAAGTTTGATGATTTAACACACTAAAGGTGCCTTGGAGAAAGGCCTGGAAAATCTGTTTCCATGAAAACTCTGTAAGGCATAATTCTACTGACACTCATGGGGCCACCTTGAGTAACGTCAACTCAATGACAGCCTGTTCTTTTTCCTTTAAATACACAGTAAGGGTTTTGCTTTATAGAAAATACATGTATTTTTGTTGTTCTTAAGTGCCATCCAATTGGTTCCGAATCATAGCAAATATGTAAGGGGTTTACGAGGAGCAGAAAGCCTCGTCTTTCTTCCAGGGAATGGCTGATGAGCTCGAAGCGCCAACAGTATTCGCAATCCAGTGTTGATTATACAGAGCTACCGTGCTACCTGGGAGTCCTGGTACAGTGTTGTGGGTTAATGTACTGGACTACAAAGTTGGTTTGAATCGTAAGGTTGGAGATTCCAGCTCACCAGCCGCTTCTCGGAGACCCTATACAGGGTCGCTATTAGTCGGAACCGATTCAATGGCACTTAACAGAAACCGTGCTTTCCAAATACATATACATATTTACATAAACATGCCCACAAACATATATCACATATTTTGTGGGTAGAAAGAGTTGATGGATAATCTGTCCGTATACGGACAGTCGCTTACTTCCTACGGAGTGATGCCGATATATGAGCTTTCTTTCTTAGGCTGCGTGACAGTGGAAGCTAGCTTACCCGCGTAGTCTTCTGTGCCGTAATCATCCGTGTGGTCTTCCACCCGACTGTAACGTACGCGCTCCACTTTGGGAAACTCATTGGTTGGCGAGTACGGCTGCACGGAAGTGCCATAGAGGACCAAAGACCACTCTTTCAATTTACCTAGAGAAAAAATAATGAAACCACAGCATGATCAAGCATCCACGTTTTTAGCATTAGAGCTTTTATTCCTTTTCATCTGATTCACATGAATCATTACATCAGATACAAGTTTAGGAATGTAGGTTTTCACCGTTTGCAGAATTAACCATTCAACAACCCGCACACCATATATTTATTGAACACCTACTATGTAGTAGTAGAAATTGGCTTTTTCATATGAAGACTGGGAAATAAACACAACTCACATTGCTGGATCAAGGGCTGACTTTCAAATTGTGAGTATTTTAGGGATTCCCAGAATTTTATGGAAGACTTTGTTTTTTCTGGGCATAAAACTCTTATTTGAACTCCCCCTCGCCCCCCACTATCTGACTTGTTTATCAACACATAGTTAAAAAACAATTCCTTAGGTCCACTCGAGTCCCGAACCAACCATCCAATCTTAAGAATACATGAATACATTTATTTATATCGTCTTAAAGAGTTCTGCGGGAGTCCCTGGGTGGATGGTATAAATGATTAACACATTGGCTTCTAACCAAAAGGGTTGAGTTCAATCCAATGTACTTCCATAGAAAGGTCAGGTGGTCTATTTCTGTCAAATTGGTCGTTTAAGGCACGCTATGGGGTGCAGTTCTTTTGGGATACACACGAGGTCATCATAGGCCAGTGTGAACTCTCCAGCAGTAGGTTGATCGACCTGTGCTGTTAAAATTTACTAAAATCAACAATTCAGTTCCTCAGTCCCATTAACTGCATTTGAAGTGCAACACAGCCATATGTGGATCCTATACAGCAAAGCATTGACATACAAGATGACCATCATTGCCGAAAGCCCGACTTGGCGGTGCTGCATTAGACCATTTTCTGTTTAAGAGTGCCTTGAGACAGGAGGCAAGCGCTTCAACTTCTGTTGGCTGGCACGCTCATAAGGAACATTTTGCTTTAGTTTAGTCCTTATTGATTCATTTATTTCCTGGCTTCAGAAAATTAAAGTCTTCACTGTACAAAAAAAATAAAAAAGGAAAACTGCCTCCAGGCCATTGAACTTAATAAGATTCACATCAAAAAGAATCAACCATAAGCAGAAGTGATGAAGACAAACCCATTACAAACATGAAATATGCTGGGAAGTCAGGCCCCCCTTTAGAAAACCTTCCTCCTTGGCCTAAACACAGAATCCAGACATGGTCAGAAGCTTGGGCTGTGCCATTTCAGAGAGTGGTGACATCCAGTTGTCATGATGCTTCTTCTATTAGGACATCATCATAATCACCCCAAGTATCAACTTGCCTTTCTAAGTGCTTTCTATGTGCCAAGCACAGGGCTTGGTAAGTTCTATTAGGTTTTGTTTTGAGGCTTTATCCCAATCAGTCTTAACAATAACCTTGAGGTAGGTAATGGATTTTTGTTGTTGTTGTTAAGTGCCATTGAGTCGGTTCCAACCCATAGCGACCCTGTTTAGGGTTTCCAAGGAGTGGCTGGTGAGCTTGAACCGCCAACCGCCAATTCAAATCGACTTTGCAGTCCAGCACATTAACCCACAGGGCTACACCAGGACTCCAGGAGAAAGATAGATAAGTAGCTGCTGTTGAGTTGATTCTTACTCATGGTGGCTATATGCATAACAGATTGAAACATGTCCTGGTCCTACAGCAGCCTCACAATTGTTGGCATGTTTGGATCCATTCTTATGGCTACTGTGCCAATCCATCTGTCCTGGTAATCTAGTATTGTTATAACACAGGTACCATAGATGGGTGGCTTTCACAAACAAAAATTTATTCTCTCATAGTTGAGAAGGCTAGAAGTCCAAATTCAGGGCGTCAGTTCTAGGGAAAGGCTTTCCTTATCTTTTAAATTCCAGGAAAAGGTCATTCTCTCCTTTCAGCATCTGTGGACCCAGTGGCCCTTGGAGATCTTCATGTGCCTGGGGTCTAGGAGGTTCTCAACACAGGGACTTGGGTCCAAAGGACTCACTCCACTTCCAGCTCTTCTTTCTTGTAGGGGGTTGGGTCCCTCTGATCTCTGCTGGTTTGCTTAATTTCTTTTATATCTTAAAAGAGATTGCTTCAAGGCCTATTGTGTCCTGCCTCATGGACATAACTGCCACTGGTCCTGACTCAGATCACAAAATGGAAGATAAATCTATAATACTGAAAATCATGGCTTAGCCAAGTTGACATATATTTTTGGTGGATGCAATTCAATCCATGTTACCATTACACTGAGGTTTTTCCACATCAGCCTTCTACTTCACCAAACATGATGCCTGCCTCTAGTGTTGTTGTTGTTGTTAAGTGCCGTTGAGTCATTTCTGACTCATAGCAACTCTGGATAGGGTTTCTAGGTTGCTGCTGTACGTTTGAACTGCCGACCTGTGGTTCGCAGTCCAGTGGTGATCCTGTATCACCATACCTCTAGTGATCGATCCCTCTTAATGATGTGTCCAAAGCAAGTGAGTCAGGCAATGTTCTGCTGTGATCTAGAAGGCTTTCAGAAGGAAGCTCTACTGCAACTTGTTCATTACAGGTGACCCTACTACTATATGAAATACTGAAACAATATGAAATTTTGTTTCTGGACTCACAACAACATGTGAGCCACCAAAACATGACAAACTGCAGATGGGTAGGCACTAGTATCCCAATATACAGGGGAGGACACTGAGGCACAGAGGTGGATAATTTATCCAGATTATTATAGTAAGAGCGGTTATGAAGAGGACAGAATGATAATATAACCCATTCTGAAGCAACCCATTCTTGTGGTCTTAAACCATTATGCAATACTGCTTCCTGCTCATTTCCATGAAACTGGACTTTTAATAATGAACATATTCTATGATGAATTCATTTTCTTTTTTTTTTTTTACATTCTTATTGGAATGGTATATGGTTTGTATGTGGGTTTGCCCTCTGCCAGATTTTTGTTGGACTCACTATAGTTTTCAGCTAAAGACTATACTTTTCAGAATTGGGGTACTATGTATTCTCAGAGTTCTAGGTGGTGTGCATTAAGTAGTGGCAAGGAGTGACAGGCCGCCTGAAATTGATGGCCTAACTGATTGCCCTTAGTAACCATGCAAATGGAGCCATTGTCTTTTATGGCATCTCTCCAGTGGACCAACAGAACATAAACTATCAGAACACGAGGTCATCCACTCCACCAATCCTCCTCAAGTCTGGTTCATTTTACTGAAGATTATTTTGTGCCTAGAGAAGTTATCCTTGTAAGTGCTTTGGTGAATGCAGTCTTGAAATTGATTATTTCCTTCTTACGCCATTTCTGAAGTACACCACAAGCTCACTAGGGTTATCCTTGCTGTTCAATTGGTCTCTTTAGTTTTCATTTATTAAGTAACATCCTTAGAATTCTAATCTCAGCTATGACTGTCATCAAACATGGCTGTGTTTGGGCTATCATGCTTTTTATTCTATACGCTAAAAAAAAAATTTTTTTTAGACGTTGTTGAAAATATACACAGCATAACATATACCAAGTCAACACTTTCTACATGTATGTTATTGTTGTTGCTGTTAAGCGCTGTTTAGTCGGTTCCAACTCAAAGTGAACCTGTATAGCATTTCTGAGGAGCAGCTGGTGGGTTTGAACTGCCAACCTTGTGGTTTGCAGTCCAGTGCTGATCCTACAGCACCACACAAGGAGTCTTCTATATGTATTTGTTGTTATTGTTAATGCCATCAAATCAATTCCAATTCATAGAGACCTTGTATAGGGTTTTCGAGGAGTGTCTGGTGAGTTTGATCCATCAAACTGACCTTGTGGCTCAGTACTTTATCCCATTGAATTGTTGTTGTTAAGTACCCTTGAGTCAGTTCCAACTCATGGCAACTCTGTGTAGGGTTTCCAAGTAGCTGATGGTGGGTTTGAATTGCTGACCTTGTGGTTCACAGTCCAGTGCTGATCCTACAGTGCAACACCAGGAGTTCTATCCCATTGAACCATACATGTATAATTCAATGGCACTGATGACATTCTTCTAATTGTGCAACTGTTCCCACCCTACTTTTCTGAATGGTTCTTCCCCATTAATATAAATTCACTGCCCTCTAAGATTTACAGCTACTCTTTTTGTGAGTTGCTGTTGTCAATTTAATCCAATGTAGAAAAATTTGCAACTGAACTAAAACATTCTTTTAAGCAATGGCTGTGTAAATATGCAAGGAGAAAAATCCATTGTACTTGCTAGCCTCCTTCCAAGATATTTTAATATGCAAAACAAACAAACACCAAAGTAGGACAACAACAACAACAACCTTATCAACAAAACATAATTTTAATATATATTTTTAATAAAAAAGACCATATGTAAAAAAATGATAAGCAAATACAAACTCATCTTGGAGCCAGGAATTTATATTTTGGGGGATGATTCTACTATTCAATTGCATTAGAACAATTCTACACAGCCATCTGGATTTCTAAGAAATCATCCCTCATTAATCAGATAGGAAAAAGTAAATACAGGTTTGTACCCCCAAGAAACAGTGATAGAAATATACACACATGGACACATATGAACAGAAAAGTAAAAGTCCCTTACCAGTCCAGGAATGAAAGATTGGTTAATGGAAGAATACACAAAGACTATGTGTTTCTATTAAAGCATCTTGATTTCAATGTAGTAATAGCATTGTTGTTGTTGTTACGTGCCGTTGAGTCGGTTCCGACCCATAGCGACCCTGTACAGGGTTTCCGAGGGTATAAATCCTTACGGGAGTAGAAAGCCTCATCTTTCTCCCGCGGAGCAGCTGGTAGTTTCGAACCACTGACCTTTAGGTTCGCAGCCCGATTCGTAACCACTACGCTACCAGTAATAGCATTAGGCATAAAAAAATTCCCAATATGATTGGAGGCGATTCAGGTTACATGTGAATATTTAAGTAGTTGAAGGAGAACTTGATGGTATGAAAAGTTGCAAGATCAAGTCCACCCAGAGGAACATTGAAAGAAAGACCTGGTACTTTACTTCCCCCAAGCTCAGCCCTCTGGAACACAGTTCTACTCTGGCATACATAAAGTTCCATAAATCAAAACGGATTGGATGGCGACTGGCTACCAAGTCTACCACTGAGATATTTTAATAGAGAAAATCACACTCAGTTCTGGACAGATGAGAAATTCCTTCAATGGTGGAGGGACTGATAGTCTTGGTGCCTGCACCATGAACACAGTGCACTATGGTTTACACTGAGTGGCAGTCTGCTCCCAGGGAATATTTTATCATTGACTTTTAGAATATGCTAGTGCCTGGTGATAATAAAAGAGTACAGCCTCTTGTACTCACTTGTTTGATTGTTTTAACCTCCAGGCCACAGCCCCTTGGAAACCATGGCAGTCAATATATTTACAATATATTACAAAATGTGAGTGAAAGTCACATTTTTGGCAGTATTTGCTTCTCTGAGGTCTCTCGATATGTAGGAGTACTTCACTAATACTTGCTCCCAGATCAACTGGGAGTTACATTTTGGTCAGGGAAGCATAGCCCTAGTAAGAGGCATGGCCCCATGCTTGTTCATGGCAAAGCCATGATCTTGGCCTTAAAGAAGAGGGAAGGAAAGAGGAAGGTCCTGGGAACCAAGGAGATGGTGAAGTCTAAGTGCCTAGAAATGCTGGTCCCATGAATTCAGATGCTCTCTCTAATAACCCTGCCTTGACAAACATTTAAGTTGTGAATGAAACATTGATCAACATTATATTCTGATGTCTATGAGAGGTGATGGAGACCCTGATAGTCTTGAATGAAACTCCGGTTCTGATCCTCTACCATCTGGCCACCAGGCTGGTATTGACCTCTATGATTCTGGGACCACTGTGGCAGCACAGATGAAGCACAACCCAGGATTAGGGGAGAGAGAGGACAAAGTCTGTTAGTGGTTACCAGGGGCAGAAGGGAGGGGGAGAAGGAGAGTCTTTGTTTAGGAAGCACTGAGTTTCTGCTTATGATGATAAATTTGGCAATGGAAACTTGTGACGGTTGTGCAAAATAATTAAAGTAGTCAGGATCAATGAATTGTATTTGTAAAAAGTTTTTGAATTGGCAAAGGTTGTGTCATATATATTTTTACCACACAAGAAAAATGAAAAAGATAAAAGGATCTCTCCAAATGAGTAATTTTCCCTGATGATGAGGCAAAAGCATAGTAAATACCCACTTCATCCCTGTGCTCTCTGGGTGACTTCTGTGCCTTGTATCTGAATGGCACATACTCTTAGAATGACAGGCTGTCTTGGGTAATTGATTCTGCAATCACGAATGGCAAAGCATTAGACATCAGCCCCCTAATTTCCCTCAGGCCTGGCTTTTCTGAAGCTGCACCGAGCAGAGTATTAAAAAGCTGACACGCCCACAGATGGGTGGGAAACATACTCATAGTTTTCAGTCATTACTGAGACAAGCGCTGTGCAGAGTATAGTCTTGGGCCCACCACACGGGCTGCTGAAACAAACACAACAAACCAGTTCACTCTTCCACCTTGAGCTGCATTTGTACCGGCTTTTTTTTAATGTTCCAAACAAATTGTATAGGTTAGCATAAAACAGGCTGAGGGTGGCACTAGAGTTTGAGACTGTCTAAAAAGACACTTTTTAACATTGTAATTTCCATGTTTTATATTTCAGGAAGATTTTCTGTTTCCTTGGCTCTTGGACCTATGTAGCCCAGAATACCATTAATCGTTTTTGGTGTCACTGGTTTAGTTGGCAAAGGACAATCTAATATCTTGCCTGACCTGAAAAATTAAATCTCAAGTAAATGCAGAATAATACTAATAAAAAAAAAGATAGCTACGGAAGCCTCGCTCTTCTTGTGAAGAATTATGAGTGTGCAATATAACCCATTGTAGGTGGACAAGACTGGTATGTTAGAGATGCAGTCCATATGTTCTGAAACATCAATCATAAGTTGCCATCTTTTACCCTATTCATTGTTGTTAAGTGCTGTTGAGTTGATTCTGACACATAGCGACCCTGTATAGGGTTTCCAAGGAGCAGCTGGTGAGCTTGAACTGCTGACCTTGCAGGTCAAACGGCTTTGGAGTCCGGCGCATTAACTCATAGTGCCACACCAGGACTCCTATACTTATATATATGAATTCTTTATTCCTTATCCTTAGCTCATTATCTTTCAAATGGTGATCTTGAGCACCTGAACACATGGAGACAACTCACAGCACAGAATCACACACACAAAAGGAGTTCTCACCTGGAGTCTTGAAGTTCCTCAGCTGAGAGGGCGTGTCATAAACTTCCAAGATCCAGTCACCTGATGCTCTTTCTCCCCAGCAATGGATGGTCATGAACTCCCAGTTTTTAAATCCTTCCATGGAATGATCAAAGAGCCTAAAAGAAAATCATAATCACTGCTTTGTGTGTTAAGTGAGGATCAATGGGTTTTTGTTTATTTTTTGTATCCATCCGGCAAAAAAAAGTTAGGAATATGCACACAAGACTGAAGTGCTAAATGTTGGTAAATATGTGGAGAAACTGAAACTCTCGTACTGCTCATGGGAATGCAAAATAGTACAGTCCTTTTGGAAAACATGTTGACAGTTTCTTCTAAAGTTAACCAAACACTTACCATACAACTCAGCAATCCTCTTCCTAGATATTTACATAAGACAAATAACATGGCCACACAAAACCTCGACATGAATGATTGTAGGAACTTAATTCATAATCACCAAGAACTGTAAAGAACTGAAATGCCCATCAGCTGGTGAATGGACAAACAAATTATGGTATATCCACATAATAAAAAATACTCTCCAGCAATAAAAACCAATGAACTACTAATGTACAATGTGAATGAATTTCAAAAGCATTTAGCTAAGTGAAAGAAACCATACTTGAAAAACTGCATTTGTTGTTAAGCGCCTTCGAGTCATTCTGACCCATAGTGACTCGGTATAGGATTTCCAAGGAGCAGCTGGTGAGCTTGAACCACCGACCTTGTAGTTCAAACGACTTTGCAGTCTGACGCATTAGCCCACAGCGCCACACTAGGGCTCCATACTATATGATTAAATTTGATTTTCTATGAAAGGCAAACTATAGTTACAGAAGGAGTCCTGGTGTGGCGCTGTAAGATAAACACTGAACTGATAACCACATCAACAGTCATTCAAAACAACCAGCTGCTCCTTGGAAACCCTATACAGAGTTGCTATGGGTCAGAATGGCTTCAAGGGCACCTAACAACAACAACAACAACATAGGTACTAGGGGCTAGGGGCAAGGGTAAGGGCACAGGGAACTTTTGGGAGATGATAGAACTATTTAATATTTTGAAAGTGTTGGCATGTGGTTATACAACTGTCAAAATGTTAAAAACTCATTGAACTATTCACATAAAAAAGTAAGTTGAATTGTGTGCAAATTATACTTGAGTAAAAAGGTTCTACCCAATAATTTTATCCAGTTCAGAGTTGTGACTGGAAGGCTAGCTGGATTCTACTCTTCCAATCAGTTCTACTGATTTTTTTTAGGCTGTGGGTTAATGCGCTGGACTGCAAAGTTGGTTTGAACCACAAGGTTGGCAGTTTAAGCTCACCAGCTGCTCCTCTGAAACTCTATACAGGGTCGATATGGGTCAGAATTGACTTTATGGAATAACAACAATTTCCTGGTGGTGATGTGAGTTAGGAATTTGGGCTGCTAACCTCAAGGTCAGTGGTTCTAACCCACCAGACACTCTGAAAGAAGGATGAACCTATCAGCTTCCATAAAGATTTACAGTCTTAGAAACCCTATTTAGGGTTGTTAAGAGTTGGAGTTGACTTGCTGGCAGTGGTTTTTGTTTTGGAATTTCTTATGTGAAAGAGCTAGGATTATTTGTTTCCTGTGATGGAATCCTGGCTAATAGAAAATATGAAGGAAAGTAAAATAAAGATGGAATCCTTATCTTTTATAAAGAGATATTAATATCTTATGTGTTACAAGAGATATATATTATATACTGTATAAAAGGAGTATTTTAAAAAACAGGCATCTGATATTTATAGGCCAATAATGTAGCCTTAACTATGCAAAGAAATAACCAGAAACCTTTAAAGACATTTTTTCCAGGTATAGGACCTGAAAGATGGGTAAAATAGTTTCAGTGCTTCTTAAAATTAGGGGTATCTTCTACTTAAAAAAAAAAAAAGGAGCTCTTGTAGCGTAGTGGTTATGAATCGGGTTGCTAATCTCAAGGTCAGCAGTTCGAAACTACCAGCAGTTCCATGGGAGAAAGATGAGGCTTTCTGCTCCCATAAAAATTTACAGCTTTGGAAACCCTGTGCAGGGTCGCTATGGGTCGGACCTGACTTGATGGCACTTAACAGCTGGTAGCGTAGTGGTTACGAATCGGGCTCTGAACCTTAAGGTCAGCGGTTCGAAACTACCAGCCGCTCCACGGGAGAAAGATGAGGCTTTCTACTCCCGTAAAGATTTACACCCTCGGAAACCCTGTACAGGGTCGCTATGGGTCGGACCCGACTCGATGGCACTTAACAACAACAACAACAACAGCAACAACTACTTGAAAATGAGCCCTGGTGTGGCACTGTAGAATAAACAATGGACTGCCAACTGCAAGGTCAGCAGTTCAAACCCATAAGCTTATCTTGGAAACCCTATACAGGGTTGCTATGAGTTGGAATTGACTCAAGAGCACATAACAACAATAACTATTAAAACATAATGAAAAACAGGGAAAAGACAATTGAAAGTCAAAGAGGCAAAATAGCTCTAGGATTATCTCATAAGCACCATGACCAGTGTCTGGACACACTGGGCTTTTAGTGGAGATGAATTCAGAGTAAAAGGTAATCTTACTGGATGGTCATAGCTCTTTAAGATATGAAACCAATTCTCCTGGCATTGGTTTCATGTTCACCAAGCAAACTAATGGCTATGATTTGACTGTTTATGTAGATTGTCCGTTGGGAGAAAATATGCCTTTGTAGAAAGAAAAATAACCAGTTTAATTAGTACAGTTAAGCCCCTAGGTTATAAAAGTCCAACTCACAGACACCTCCTACTTGCCCTTAAATGTTAAGTAAATTTGACTGCACTCTGAAATGACTGAACCAAACCCTACTCACAACAAAGTCTTTATCACAATCACCTTCAATTGCTGCAATGCAGTTTTTAAATCTTTGAAAAGGCTTTAAGTCTTTCCTTAACCTAAAAGAAGGCTGAATAAGAACTGTCTCTACCTGTTCCAACTTACCTACAAAGTTTACTAAAAGACCCACTTAAAATGGATCTGCCTGAGGACTGCCTACAGTTATTTTTCTCTTTATAACTTACTAGCATTCTGATTAAAAATGTAAAAGAAAGCATTATATTACTTATGTGTTTCAGGTGACCTTTATGAAGCATAGAAACAAATAGTGAAAAGACCAATGGGTCACATGAACCTCAGCCTCCATGACCCTGAGAAGAGAAGAGCTAGATGGTGGTGTTCAGCTTCCACTTCCGACCATTCTGAAAGGGATCTTAATAGGAGGTTCTGGGTTGAATGGAACAGAACTCAAAATCATAATAAAAACCTGGCTTACTGGTCTGACAGAGCCTGGTGGAACCCCTGAGACTGTCATCATTAGTCATCCTTTAAGTGTGGAACTTAAATTCATCCCCAGGGCTCAATTTTCAATAAAATTATAGATACAGGTCTAGTGTAGTGGTTATGAATCGGGCTGCTAATCTCATGGTCAGTAGTTCAAAATTACCAGCTGTTCCGTGGGAGAAAGATGAGGCTTTCTGCTCCCATAAAGATTTACAGCCTTGGAAACCCAGTACAGGGTCGCTGTGAGTCAGAACCGACTCCACGGCACATAACAACAACAACAACAATAAGACAAACAAAGAGCCTTGGTAGTGTAGTGGTTACGCATTGGGCTGCTAACCACACGGTCAGGAGTTCGAAACTGCCTGTTGCTCCACGAGAGAAAGATAAAGTCTTCTGATCCCATAAAGATTTATAGCCTCGGACACACTATACAGGGTCACTGTGAGTTGGAACTGACTTGAGGGCACACAACCATAATGCAAACAGCAATATCAGAAGGTACACACTCCTGTGCAATCATCCACATGAAAGTAAAATAGTCAGCATTCGCCCAGGGACAAAGGAATCAAGTTCAATAGATAGGAAAGGAAAGAGGAGGTCAAATGGAAACAGCAAACACAGGGAGAAAGTGTGAAGAATGCTGTTATATTGTGGGAATTACAATCAATGTCATCCAACTAAATGGGTATGAACTGTTAAGTGGAAAACCCATTTGTCTATCAACTTACTCAAATCACAATACAAAGGAAAAAAAATAATAATGCCAGCTGGATTCTAAAACTGAAGGATTTGGGTAGTATCATTGTGGAGTTTGTTAGGTAGAATGCTATTGTTGTTAAGTTCTGTTGAGTCTGTTTCGACCCATAGAAACCCTATATAAGGTTTCCAAGGAGCAGCTGGTGAACTTGAACTTCCGACCTTGTGGTTCACACCAACTTTGCAGTCCAGCGCATTAACCCAGAGTGTCACACACTTAAACGATTTTCCCTAGAACGAAACAACAAGCAGGGAAGTCATCTGCTACAAGTTCCTGACTCTGTAAAAGAAAAATGAAAAAATACAAAGCAATCTCCTCAAAGTGCCAAAGTATTTGGGAAAGTTTGCATTAAACAAAGTAGATCTCTTTTCTGAAAAACATCTCAGATCTTTGAAATGTCAGTGATTTTGAAAATTAAAGTGCTTTCTCTCTCTCTTTTTTTTTAAAGAATATCTGTATACTCTATTGTAAAGGTTTCCACTTTGAACACAACAAAGGGGCATTTCAACGACCACTTTAAATTTGAAAGATTTTCCCCATGATAAAAGATATGAAAAATGTTGGCGCTTTACAGGATTGTTTCCCTACTTTAATGGATTATCAGTGGAATGAAGATTGGCTCATTTTATTTGTATTTAGCTGTATAATCTACAACTAAAATAGGGCTTACAACTGGACGTGGCTAAAAAGAAATTTGATTCCTGCACTTAGAATCCAGAACCAGTGAATTTCAAAGTGTGTATGTTGGTGGAAAAGATAACACAGACACAGAGGATGAGAAGCTTTTGTCAGATTGCCCTTTCTGACATAAAGATGGTATTAATGGCAATGTGTTGGCATAGAAATGACATGGAGGCAAAAAATGGTTTAGAACTACTTAGTAGCCCATAGTTGTAATTGAGGCTCTAATTTGCTCAGACTATTGTGCCTTTTGAGGGCAATCGAGCAATAACTTGTCACATAATACTTTTCCAAGAGTGCCTAACTTAAAAGCAGTTCGCAAACAGTTTACATAGAACACTTGGCCCA